ATACTCCAGTAGTAAACTCGAAGTCCAGACTCTCCTTCACTGTGGAGGGAAAAAAAACCCACAACATAAATGCATTCTGATTAGTATTTAGTGCATGCTTTCCACTGGTCTGCATTTTTGGCTTGCACAGTTTCACAATCAATCGCACTGCTGTGCAAAGAGTTGCAGCTGAATTTGGTAGCAAAAAGCTACTTCGAAAATATGCTACTTAAACAGTTAGACACTGTTATTGAAAACTACATCTCACAGAAAATACTTGCAATAATTTTTATGGAATCGGATTCTTCCATCCCTCATGTATAATTGTACACTTTTAATATCATATTACAGCTCCAGACACATTTTCCTTATTATTTTTTAACTGAGGCTAGCACTATATGACAGTTTAATTTTATGCCCATATTTTGATGCAAAATTTCACACAATTCCTGTTGAAATAAAACATCTGTATGTGTATATACAGATGTATGTATACAATACAAAGTGTTACTTAAGTGATTCAAAGAGATAGTCCTTCATACTCCTCCTTTCAAAATGGCCTGTGAACTGACTTGTCAAAAGTTTTCAGACCTTATCAGCATCGTACTAGATATCTGGTCAATGTATTTACATTTCTCATTGGAAACTTAAGCAGAGTATCCTGCCTTATATTATACCTTTAAATTTTAGTTTGAGCTGTTAAAGTGGAACTTCATTTAAATGAACAAAATCAAAATAAGATTCTGTAAGTGGTAGAGGAAAAACCTGCTGATTTCAAAAATCAACAATAAATGAACAGACTACAAAGCAATCCATAAACCAAGGAACATTCAGACTTTCCTTCTCTCACTGATTCTACAGGGCAAGAAGGAAGTCCTGCTATTAGCTTAGCTATTAGCTCACATATCTAAGTACCTTTCTGCATTTTTCATCTTCTGATAGAAATCTGCATGTTCTTCTAGAAAACTAATTTAAAACGTACCAAAAAAAGATAAGACAAACACAACTGAATATCTCAGATTCATACCACATGCTGGAACAGTACCTATCTGAAAGCAGCCACTACAGACTTCAAGTAGTACTTTCCCAAGGAGGAAGACTCATATGTTTCTGCAAACTGACATTTAAATAACAGTAAAAAAAAAAAAGTAAAGCGTTACATTTTAGTGTCAATATAATCTCGTATTCTATGAAGTATTTGTATTTTTCTTCCTTTAGTCTTTCTCACCGCCCCCAGATTACAAGCAATATCCATCATTTTTTCAAAAATGTATCAAACAAGGATCATAAATGTGCATCATTTCCACTAAAACCAACTAAATTACTTTTAAGTTACATCACATTTCAAAGCCATTGACATAGCTCTTGATAATTAGTCATGAAAAAGAAGCCTTTATGAATACCTTTATAGTTTTGCTGCAGTCTTTAAATTTCTGGCATATAATCTGGACGTGAGCAACTTGTATTGGCTGTGCACAAAGCAGCTTTGAGACACTAGATTAGCTCTTTGGGGAATTACAAGTTAACAGAGAACTGCTTTGTGTTTAAGACTCCTGTTCACATGTACCCAGGAAGCAGTACTGATCTCACAAATAGGACCTCACATAAGAAATGTGAGAAAGCAGGCATTGTAATGGGGGATAAGGGAAAACAAAACAAGAAGCTAAGCATTGAATTGGAGTTATATTTTTTTTTGGAAAAGAAAAATATATCGAGGAAGTGTTTAAAACAAAACAAAAACCACACTCGATCCCTTTAAGAAGAATAATTTGTCCATAACCTTGAAAATCCGAGGCTTCACTTTGAGACACACAGCCCCAACTGTGTAGCTACATTCCTAAAACTATATATCACTAAGGTACTTAGTAGCTTTAAACTTATTATTTTGAAAGAAAAAAAAAGTGATAACTGGAGTCTTCTCTTTATTCCCATTCTGAATCTGTAATGTATACTTTGAAATTCTTGCTATACACTTACGTGGGAACTTACATAATTTTGGATTGCTTCTGCTTGCAGGAGGAATTTCTATGACTTTGGGTCATTGAGGTCATTTGTATAAGTAAAATTAGGAATTTCTATAGTTCCTCCCATATAAAAAAAGGAGGAAGCTGGAGCTAAGGAAAAAGAAAAAAAAAACAAACAACAAACCAAACATAAAAGGATTAGCATACCTAATAACATTACAGAAAACTTCCAGAACAAGAGGCTTGCAGAAGCATGTCCCTGGCATCTGTAGGTATTAGTTCTTAAGAGAAACATCAGGAAACAGCCACTGATGAGTCAGTTTCACTGACAGAATAACGCCCAGAAGGAAAGGAAAGGAATGAGATCTGGATTGACAGGTGTTTTTACTGGGAAGCATTAATTGTTAAACTTTCTTTTTCTTTTTTTTCATCACTAACCTCCTGAAGAATATGAAGGTTTTAATGGCTATGTGTTAAGATCTGGAAAGAAACGTGTATAAGCTATGCACTCTTTTTTTTTTTTTTTGAAAAAGCTATTAGAAGATAGACAGTTAATTCCTACAGGTTCTTGGGAAAGATGACAGTTATAATAATGATATTATTCACAAACAGACAAAAAATGCAGAGCTAAAATACATAACTTCATTATTCTTGTGCAACTACCAGCTGCTAATTACCAAGCATTTGGTTTCTTTTGCAAAGACATTAAGGAGAAGTGAAAGTCAGTAGTTTATACACACATTACGTGCTCAGCTGTTTAGCACAGAGCTTTTCAAACTGATCATTCACACAGTGCAAAACCCTCAACCCATTCAGACCATGCTGGGGAATAACACTTACAGAATGAATAGTGCAGGACTAGCACAATTACTTTAACTATTAAAGAAACTGTAGGTAGTATTCCTAAAAGCCATCTTCTCCAGAAACACATTTGAAGAAACAGTACTTCTGACACAAGCATTCTTGGTAGGGTGGGCAGTTGTGAATAT